AAAATGAGTGGTGTGCATTTCTTTAAGAAAATTATGATAGATTCAAGGGCTTTTCTACATTCAGGTAACCTTGTACTTTGGCTTGTACTTATTTAACAACAGGTACCCCTTAAATGATTGACACATGTCCTTTTGCTTATTTAAGTAAATAAAAAATCGAATAAATGCATATTAAAAGTACGAAAATGCCCTAACTTGAAAGAACTTGTAATAAATTTACATAAAAGGTCTTTAAGTATTTATTTTTTAATATTAACCCTAAAAATAATTACAGATTTCGATTAAACCACCTAAATTGCAAATGAATTTATCTAACATTCATTCAAACTCACAAACATCTTCGATCTCTCTCTCTCTCTCTCTCTCTCTCTCTCTCTCTCTCTCTCTTTTTTTCTGGACAATATTTTGTTGCTATTCAATTTTTCTTTTTTATAAACTTTAATTTATCTTCTCTTCCTTAAACGTACTGAAGAAACAAAAATTTGAGGAATCGGTTTCCACCATCAGATCTCTCCTCAAACAGCATTATTCATCTGCTTCACCTGATCTCCAGAAAATGGTTCTTATTTCGCCTCTTCTCTTTTCTTCAATCTTATTCAGATTAAATTTTTATTGGTGTTTTGATGGGTTTGTCCTGAAACCAAATTTTTTTGGGCATGTTAATGTATAAAACCTGCCATATGTTAAACCTGTTATTCGTTTTTTGTTATTCGATTTATGTTTTTCGATTTAGATCTGCTGAATAGGGATTTTCAGAGGACCAAAAGTTGACAGTCTCCATCGTCTCGCCCACCGGAGTTGTAAGTTGATTGTTGCTGTGGTTTTATGGATCTAACATGGTTTTGCTTTTACTTTTTTGGAAATAGTTTGTGTTTTGAAAAATTGTTGAGTTTGTTTACTGTTGGGGCAAATTTGATTTGAGAAAGAATTTATTTGTATGTTTTTATTTCATATGTATATGATACATGCTTAATTCTTGATATTTTGTCAGATGTTGTGGTGAACTATTGTAGCATAACAATATGCTTTATTGTGCATCTATTGTAGTTGGAGTGTCATATTTACTTCATCTCGGGTTCAGGTATCAAAACACATAATCCGTGTGTTAACATACTCCTCACAATTGGTTGTGCATTGTGTTGTCATTGCGAAAGTTTGTATTTGACAGAGCCTTGACTCTCGATGTTTCTCAAGATATACCCTGAGCTGCCGCTAACTCCTCTGTAGCTGGAAGAAGATCTGGAACAATTGAAGGTCCTTGAAAATGGATACAAAATGAAGGTGCTATAGTAAATCTCTGCTCATGTTTGTTTAACTGATGTTGTTTTGTTTTCTTCGTTTCTTGCCCTTTTTGTATATATTAACTTATGATTCAGGACTACAAAATAGATACCTATGAAGATCAGTATTATAACAAAACACCTAGCTTTATTGTGAAAGTGCAAAGTTCAAGATTTCTTGTTGTGAGTGCTTTAATTGGGTTAATGGTCACCGTTGGTTTTTATCACCATCAATAATTTACAAGACTGTTCCAAGATCCACATAACTAATTACCACATTCGATTTGTGTAAAATTCGGGAAGCCCTTGATTTGTATATACACCAAGAAATATGTCGTACATTCATCAACAAAACAGACCATTGAGGTTTCTCATTTAATTTCATTCCTCCACAGGTTATAAAAGTCGACCACGAGGTCCATGGTGTTGATGTTCTAGAAGACGTAGATAAAATAGAGCGGTACATTCGTGAACGGAACCTGCACTAGCGGCATAATTTCTTCTAGGCCCTTATGGTTAAGTTTTACTACGATTTTGCACAAATGTCCTTGTTGACGATATGAACTTCGCTCGTTTTCTGGTTTGTACGTTTTGCTTGCATTTCATTCCCATAGGGGTGTAGTAACTTCAAATCGGTTCGTAGTTTATTAAGATTTATTTTGAGCAGGCAATTGGAAAACATGAACTGAAACATGATTTTCGAAGATCAACACCCCCCCCCCCCCCCCNNCCCCAAAAAAAACACAACCTTAAAATATGATTGAGGTTTGAAACTTTCGATTTAATTGGGAATTTGATAATGTTTGTCAGAAGATATATTATGTGCAAACCAAATTTAATATTTTAATAGCTTATAATTAACTCAATCAATATTAATTTGTATAATAGTCATTTTGTGACTTTTATTTATGATTCGTTAATACCACTACTCGATGGTCAGTGACCTTTTTATATGTATTAGATTATATTTTAGATTTGAAATATTTTATTTTGTTTATCTTTTTAGTCCTCAGTCTTTCTTGTATTTGCACTTTTAGTTCCCCTATAAATATTAGATTAGGGTTCCATTATCTCACTTTTCCTTTTCCCTTTTTCTCGAGCGCAGCTCCTAATCTTTCCTCTCAACTTTCCTCTACTGTTCTTCACAAACAATGTACAGATTCTAGTTTGATTCAATGACAATTTGATGTTTTTATTCTTAATATGGTATCAGTTACCAGATCATCTCGATCTTGCTAGTTTCCGCTGCTGATTTCGTTCGTTTTTCGCTTATTTCTCGATCGATTCTTGTTCGATCTGTTCAGTTTTTTGTGTTTTTTGTTCGATTTGGTCTCTATCGGTATCAATCGACTCAGATCTGTAATTTCTACACAGATTCGCTTCGATTTTACCTAATTTTGACTTAATCGTCTCTGATATCTCTCGAATTTGATTACGATGCCTCATCCATCTGATGATCCGACATCTCCTTTCTATCTGCACGCCAGCGACAATCCTGGTGCCGTTATCGTTGCAGAGCTCTTTACCGGTGACAACTATGTGGCTTGGTCTCGCGCTGTTCTCATGGCTCTGAGTGTGAAAAACAACTCTCATTCATTGATGGCTCTATGGTAACCCCTAACCCTACTACACATCCTGTTGAACATGTTGCTTGGGTTCGTGCGAATAATCTCGTTCTATCATGGATTCTGAACTCTATTGCTAAAGATATTCGCCAATCTCTATTGTTCTTTTCTGATTCTCAAAGTGTCTGGGATGAAATTAAGTCTCGCTATGCCTTGAGTAGTGGTCCTAGGGTTTATCAGCTTGAAAAGTCTCTAAGTTCTATGGATCAGGGTTCTCAAACTATTACTCAGTATTACAATTCTTTCAAATCTTTATGGGATGAGTATATCACCTACAGACCTGTGTTCAAATGCATTTGTGGTGCTATGTCTACTTGCTCTTGCAACATTTTTGAGTCTATGTCTCTATCTCAACAAAATGATTCTGTTATGAAATTCCTGGTTGGACTCAATGATTCTTATTCAGCTCTATGCAGTCATTTCTTATTGTCTGCTCCTTTACCTTCTTTGTCCAAAGTTTATTCTCTTCTGTTGCAAGAGGAAAGCCAGAGAAACTTACAAACTACCTCAAAACCTTTTGACTCTGTTGCTATGCTAGCCAAAACTAATCATGCTCCATCCAAATACTTCAAAAACCCTGCTCCTAAGGACAGAAAGAAATTTAAATGTGATCACTGTGGCTACAATCATCCAACTGAAAAGTGTTATCAAGTCATTGGCTATCCAGCTAATTGGATTGGCCCCAAAGGCCCTAGAATCCATCCATCTCATACTTCTGTCAATTCTGTCAATGCTACTCAAAATGTCCACTCTCAAAGTACTCACACTGATTCTTCAATGACTGATGCTTTACTTACTGAGTTTCTAGAGTTCAAAAGGTCTCTTGCTAACAAACAGGGAAAGGCTCTGGCTGAGTCATCCCCTGTTGCTGCAACTGTTCACATAGAACAGCAAGGTATCACATCTCTTTCATGTCAATCTAACTCTCATTTTTCAAAACATACCTGGATTCTTGATACTGGTGCCACTGATCACATGATCTGTGACTATAATTTTTACACTGAAACCCCTTCTCAAGTTTCTATTGCCATTAATCTCCCTAATGGGCAAAAGACATATGCAAGCCATGTGGGACAGGTTAACCTGGGGCCTAATCTTGTGCTGCATCATGTTCTGTTTGTCCCTACTTTTACATTTAATCTAATTTCTGTTTCTAAACTGACTGCATCAAATAATTGCTCTGTCAATTTTGCTTCATCTACTTGTTCATTACAGGACCTGCAAACCAAAAGAATGATTGGTTTTGCTGAAGCAAAGCATGGCTTATATCATCTCTCTTTGCCTAAGTCTCATGTATCTGATCATTTTGTTAATAATGTTTCTGATGCCAGTCATGTAATAGGATCCATCAACAATTTTCATGTACCTCCACCTACTGAAATCTGGCATAACAGATTAGGGCATTTATCATTTCATAAACTTGCTACTATTTCTGAATGTTCTGATTTACCATGTAAACAATTTTCTACTTTACCATGTGACACTTGTCATTATTCTAGACAAAAGAGATTACCTTTTGAACAAAGTACATCTATTGCATCTGCTTCATTTGATCTTATACACTGTGATTTATGGGGTCCCTTTTCAGTTCCTTCTCATTCTGGACATAGATATTTCTTGACC